TTCCTGTAAACAAACAATTATTTGATTTTTTAAAAAACATTCATTTTCAGGATTGTGGGCATCCCTGGACAGACCAGCATTTATTGCCTGTCCCTAATTGCCCAGAATGCAGTTAAGAGTCAACCACATTGGATTGATGATACAGGGCTTTTAATTTATCAGACTTCCTTTCATTTTCATTCAGCTGTTCATTCATCTTCATGAATTGTACAGAAGAATTCCTTAAAGACTTCTTCAACTCAGAGATTGTATTCTCATGCTTAGATTTATTTTCACAAACAGCGTAGCGAGACTCTTGCTAGACAGTGGTGAGTTCCCAATTGACACTCATTATTGCTTGTTAAACATCATGTTATCAGTCTAACTTGCAATAGGTTGTGATCTTACCAAACTATACAAACTAGCTGTTTGGATAATTTCATATTGGAAACCAGAGCGGGTCCTTCGCTGGTTCAAATCACAACTTGCTCCAAAGGATTGCTATTTTAGACATGGGGCACAAAATCTTGGGCATTCTCCATGGGCACCAGCCACACACGCCCCAAGTCTTTGGATGCTGACAGCCAACATGTGCCAGCCTCTAAGAACCCCAGTGGCACATCTCTGATTTACATATAGGACTCTTCCGCACGTCAATGTTACAGCTCAGGCTGTCCCAGCAACTCATGTATGTAATGCTGCAGTAAGGACACCGTGCATTTGGGGATAGGCATCCAGCTCATGGACTGGACCTGGCTGCATCGCCAAGATCTTTGCTTGTTCTCATAGCGCCCACTCGCTCTGAGCCTATCTGGATATTCACAACATCACTGCCTTGCATTATCTTGCCTTAGATTATTTTGTGCTTTGCCTGCATCTCGTTCTCCCTTCACCCACTATTACACCACCTGTCTTGATTCTTTCTGCCCTGTTGTGGTCTGTTATGCCCCTGAAATGAGAGAGATGCAGATATTACAGAAGATGAAAGTGGCACGGTGGCTGAGTGGTTAGCACTGCTGCCTCACAGTGCCAGGGACCCACGTTTGATTCCCCCTTGGGCAACTGTCTGTGTGAAGTTTGCACGTTCTCCCGGTGTCTGTGTGGTTTTCCTCCGGATGCTCCGGTTTTCTCCCACAGTCCAAAGATGTGCAGGCTAGGTGGATTGGCCAGGTTAAATTGCCTGTAGTGTTCAGGGATCTTTAGATTAGGTGGGTTATAGGGGGTTGGGCCTGGGTGGGATGCTCTGAGGGTCGGTGTGGACTTGTTGGGCTGAAGGGCCTGTTTCCACACTGTAGGGATTCTATGGATGGCACAGCTGTTACTGTTGATGCAGGTGGAGAGCTGCCCTGAGCAGAGGTCATGCAGGGTTAGTGTTGTCAGGGGTCACGGTGGGTGTCAGTGAATGTCAGTGAATGAGGGAAGATATTGCAGGCAGTAGTGAGAGTGATAGATCATGGCCCTTGGTGGGAGGTGGTTGTAGTAACAGTGATAGAGTGGGAGTTGTTTTCAGAGGGAAGATGATGCCACTTTCACTGGCAGAGAAGAGAAGGACATTGACTTTCTTCTTATAGTGCTAGTCCAGACAGCCGAAACTGCTCTATCCTGGGTGGCAAGCTTGGAGCAGATTGGCATGGTCTGGTGTATGGCCTCCACTGCTGGTCCTTGGGGGAAGAACACATCCCATCTGTGTCCCACCTTGTTCATCAGGACCTCCAGGAGCATGCACATAAAACAGGCCACCAATTTATCCCTATCTGCCATGTCTGGGTCAAATATCAGGAACCATGAGGGCAACTCTGGAGAGACAATGCTTCTCTGGAGCTCAGCCCACCTTTAAATGTGGCACCAATGTCAGGGATGATGATCAATTCCAGAATCTTCTGTGAATGGTACATTGCTCTGGAAATGTCACATGGCAAGATGGGGCAGAAGTGAACATGATATTTGCCATAAGGGCGTGAACACTAATTAATGCAAAGTGTTTGGTAAGATATGGCAAGAAAACGCCCCCATCCTTAAAGCGAGAAGCACTCCACTAAACTTGACGAGACTCGCACTTAGCCAAAAAACATAAGATTCGGCAAATAGATTCTGTGGGCTTCTGTCTAAATGACATGAATTCTAGTCACTGAATATGAAAGTTTAATTTGACTCTGGATTGGTCTTCCAATGTGGTACATATCTTTTAGGATCTTTTAGCTCTTCAGCCATTAATTCTGATGTGTATGTCTGTATAGACCTTCAGACCCAACTGCCAAGTAAATTTTAAAGGCTTGGTTTTCTGTATTGGACATACATAAAACTAGAAACTATATGCTATATGCTGTTTAAACATTTCAAAATTCTGTTAGGCGGTCTGCTGTGTCCCAATTTATTCAAGATAATTTTTGCAGACATTCTGAAAATATGCCTGTGGCCTTTTCTTGCTTTCTGTTGTGTAGCTACACTTGCCTTTGTCAAGTTAGCTAAACTGCCTCTTAATAGGGATGTGTCTGCTTAACTACAAGCTATGTTATCAAAACTCTCTGACGCTGTAGCAAACAAAACATTGAGAGTTTTCTTATGAACTTTAGCAAGACTTAAGAGTGTTAACCATTTGTTTCACTTGTAAAATAACTTACTTGCTGACTAATCAATCATAATAGTCCTCTTTGGCTAAATGTTTTCATTGACATCCACAATGTCATATTAATGATAATGTTCAACTAATTAGTCACTGGTCATGGACTGATTAACTCTACAGTTCATTTATTTAAAACAGTAAAGCACATTATAAATTATGAAGAGATGTTACAGGAAATGGAATGATTTGTATGTGCAGATTGCAAACCTACAGCAGACTATCTGGCAGACAGAGTCTTAGCATTGCGTGCAAACAATACTTGGAGTCTTTAAAGGTGAACTTTCTTATAGGTAGGTTACACATACAACAGGAAGCTAGCTAGTAACATTCCCTGTCATCTGTTTTGCTGCTGTGCAGACCTTCAAGTTCTGTATGGGGCAGCGGTATCTGGAAGCAGAAGTCATTCATCAGCACACTGATCGATGGTCGTGGAGCTTCCCAGCAGCTTCTCAGCTTACAGGAAATATTGCTAGCCAGGACGGCATTGGAATAATCAATCTCAAGTTGGCAAAGGAATGAATAAGGGTTTCAGCAGATGATCTGAAAGGAAAGTGGCATCAGGCAGTGTAATGGAGCAGAAGTAGGTAGTCCTGGGATTGTTTGGATGTTTATCTCTGGTCAAAATAACACCCAGGTCATGAATATTCTTGTGGGGATCAAACAGTTGCTAGAAAAAGGGATGGTGATAGTGTCATAGCCTTCCCAGTCTCTCATTTCTGTTCATCCAGGCATCATAGAATCCCTACGGTGCAGAAAGAGGCCGATCAGCCCATTGAGTATGCACTGACCCTCCAAACACCCCCCCCACCCTATCCCCATAACCCCACATTTAGCATTGCCAATCAGCCTAATCTGCACATTTTAAGACTGTGGGAGGAAACCAAAGCACCTGGTGGAAACCCATGCAGACATGGGGAGAATGTGTAAACTCCACACAGATAGTTTCCCAAGGCTGGAATGGAGACCTGGTCCCGTGAAGTAGCAGTGCTAATCACTGAGCTGCTGTGCTGCCTCTACAAATCCTGATTCCCTGACCAGGAAGGGTGAGACTGCTAAATCCTAACCACTAGACCACCAGGGAAGGCATAGTTGTGTACAAACAATTATATGCAGAGTAATGTGTCATTTACTTTATTCCAAGCTGTTTACTTTATTCCAAACATTGCCACTGTGTAAAAATGCATTTTTTGGTTATGGTTCCACTATTAACATTGACAGTTCCCTTAAACTTGAGGTACAGTGGCTAGCGCTGCTGCCTCACAGTGCCAAGGACCCATGTTCGATTCCACCCTCGGGAGCCTGTCTGTATGGAGTTTGCATGTTTTCCCCATGTCTGCACAGTTTTCCTCTGGTTTCCTCCCACAGTCCAAAGATGTGCAGGTTAAGTCGTTTGGCCAAGCTAAATTGCCCTATAGTGTCCAGGGATGTGCAGGCTCTGTGGGTTAATTTTGGTAAATGTAGGGTTAAAGGGATAGGGCCTATGGCCTTCAGAGGGACAGTGCAGACTCAATGGGCCAAATGGCCTCTATCTGCACTGTAAGGATTCTATGATTTGAGATTCATTTTCACTGATCCCATTCCCATCACCTTTTGCTTTGTGATTTTGTTCTCTCATCTTTCCTGCGTTCCACCAAATAACTGATGCGAGGGAAATCCAGTAGGAAAACACAGTAATATTTGGAAATGAACTTTCCACTGGGAATGGTGACATTGTACAGTTTTCATGTTGTCATGTACACTTAACAATAAATGAGTGGCATGGTGGCACAGTGGTTAGCACTGCTGCCTCACAGCGCCAGGGACCAGGGTTTGATTGCAGGCTTGGGTGACTGACTGTGTGGAGTTTGCACATTCTCCCTGTGTCTGCGTGGGTTTCCTCTGGGTGCTCTGGTTTCCTCCCACAATCCAAAGATGTGCAGGTTAGGTGGATTGGCTGTGCTACATTGCCCATAGTGTTCAGGGAGGTAGAGGGTGTATATTAGGTGGGTCATAGGGTGATGGGTCAGGGTGGGATGCTCTGAGGTCCAGTGTGGACTTGTTGGGCCGAAGGGCCTGTTTCCACACTGTAGGGATTCTATTCTATAATTCTACTGGTTGTATTGCTCCCCTACTTCAAAGTAAACATGATGAATCAGACCATTGTGTCTCCTGGTCTATTATTGAGGGTGAAAGGACAAGAAACTACAACTCCCAGAACCGACCGCGCATGACGTCACTAGATGGACGTTGCCCAAATGCGAGGTGAAGACGAGAAGAAAATCCTTGATGTTGTCGAATGAAAATCAAATAAAACTAAATATACATTTAGGTGGATTTAGGAAAAGAAAGTTTGTTTTTAAAAAAACACTGAAGTAGTTTCTAGAATAGGTGACGTTATAAATGTGGGCGGGGTGACAGGAGTGCGCTTGCGCAGACGGCTGTGCGGAGGGATACGCTTCAGCTCAGATTCGGTTATCCAGCGCTCCCTCTGAGGCCGGCGGCGATGTCATCAAGGAACGAGGCGGTGAGGCGGTCTGAGGAAGCTTCGGGTGAAGAACGGCAGGTAGGATACTGCGGCGCGGACGACACCGTCATGGCCCCGGGGGTCACCGCGCTGTGGGGGTGAGGCCGAGGGTCCGTATTGCTGCAGGCAAGAGGCTGGCTATACATCGATCGCCGGCTGCATAAAGCTGCATTAGAGGCAACGTTGCGCCAACCGCCCACTACCCCCTTGGGGAGGGCTGCGCTTAGGCCTGTGCCTGCGGATGGGGGTCTTCTAGTGGGGTTGCCGAGGGAGAGTGGAGCGTTTCAGGTGGAGGATAAGTGTGATACGGTGGGGAGAGGTCTGGAAGGGTATGGGGTCGGGTCGGGGGTGGGGGTAGGTGGTGGTGGTAGCAAAATAGGAGGGGGGGGGGGTGGGGGGGGGTTGGGGGGGGGGGTGCGCGGAGAGAGGAGGATAGGACAGGATAGGATGTGGTTAGTTACTGGGAGGGACAAGTGGCTGGGATGGAGATGCTGCTGGAGAGTGTGGTATTGAATTGGTGTTAAATGGTTGATACCATTGATCCTGTTGTCTTTGCACCCTGGACCCCACTCTGCTTCTAACCATGAGGAGTATTAGCCATTTTATAAAGAGTACTGCTGCCTCCATCTCCTGTGACACAATAAACACTGCCCAATTGGAAAGATCAACTTGCAGGATTTCATGTGTGTCTATTTGCTTTTTATGTTTACTGTATCTGCTGAGTTAACTTTAGGCCCTGATTTTGCTGATGCACTGCTCCTGTGTACAGTGAGCTGAAGCACCTGCATTCCATTATAACGTGCCTTTATTGCAGAAACGTGAATTTAATTGGATTTTGCTGTTTTACCATCTGATTTGCTGGTAAATGAAGGTTTTAATGTATTTGTTAATTACTTTCAAAGAACGCAGAAATTCAGCCACCTGTGGTGCAATGGCGTGCTCCCACCCAATCTTTTACAAATGATCATAAGGAATTGTGACAAGTTCTATTGAGTAGCTATTCACTAATAACCTGCACACTAATGCTTTTGTTTTGATTCTGCCAGTGTCTCTGCTTCGCATTTTATTACAGCTTCGGACCAAGCATGACCATGAACTGATTGATTTATTGTTGTCACATGTAGTGAAAAATGTTGTGTACTGTACAGGCACATTGTACCGTACAAAGTGCATCATGGTGGCAAAACAGTTCAAAATACAATGTTCCAGGTGCAGAGAGATTAGAGTTAACATTTGAGAGGTCTGTTCAAAAGTCTGATAACAGCAGGGAAGCAGCTGTTCTTGAATATTTGTACGTGGAAGAGAGTATAACCAGGATGGGAGGGGTCTTTGATTATGTTGGTTTCTCAAGGCTGGTTTGCATGATGAACTGGGCTACTCCAGAGGTGTATAGTAATGTCTCTGAATAAGTTGCTTAGAAAATATCTATAATGCAAATAGTTGTCTTCAGTAATGCGTCAAATCTGTGACCTCCATTCCCTAGATTGTCAAGGAAGTATTTGTATGGGATTGTCTTCACTATCCTGATTCTTTACTATATTTATTCAGTCAAAATCATGGATTTTCATTAGTGAGCTCACCATTGCTGTTTTGAAGGAAGGACCGGTAATGAATTCAAACCTGCTGTGTTGGTGGCCTTGGAGATTTAATTTGAAAGAGCAATTATAATACAACCTAATATTGCATGTGATTCTTTTGACAATTAGCTTAAATCATTGCCTTCCAATTATTGACCCACCTGCAACTGGAAACATTTTCCTATTTACACATGAAAATCTTTCATAATGTTGAACTCTTCATTAAATGTTTCTTTCCCTGTTGTAGGGATTAAAAGCCCAGTTTGTTATTTCTCCTGAGTAACTGGAGTCTTTCTTTCATAGTGCTATTCCAGTAAATCTCCTCAGCAACGCCTGTTATATTTTGTCCTCCAAGTATGAAGTTCTGAATATGCTGTATTCAGCTGGTGTATTACATAAAAAGCTTGGCATAACTTCCTTGAATCTTGCAGAAAAGAGATGTTCTCAAAACTTTCCATTTTGCAATCATGAGAAAAGCAGGAATGCCTAATTGAAAATGATCACAATATTATACTACAGTGTGCTGTTTGGTAAGTGCACTCTGGCCTACGGGTTGTCATGGAGAAAGCAATGGGGAAATATAGGCTCCCAAAGCTCTTGGGGAATTCAAAATTGTGCAAGCTTGAATATATTTCTTTTGTTTCCAGTTTGAACTACACTAACATCCAATTAGAGATAATCAGGTGAGCTTGTAACATGTCCCATTAGATTTCCTGTGTCGGAGCCTGTTCTCTGAAAACATGACTGTGTTCAAGCCTCGTGGCTTTTGTGAATTAACCAGAACTTTGGAAGCTGATGTTTCCTTTTCTTCTTTGCTTTCTTTGCATTGCCACGGCCAGTTGGAATCAACTTGCTAACCATTCACACACCCACTTTCTAATGTAGATTGTTTAGGTCATTTGAGATTTGTCATTGTTTCTCTAGATAAATGTAAGACAAACAGCTTTGGCAACATGTCACCTTTTCAACAATAACTATCTTGACCTTTTTTTTGAAGAGGCACCTGAACCTTTTCTGGATATTCAAAGAGCAGTGCAAGCAGACAAATGAATTTCTGTACCTATGCCCTCTAATGCTCAAAATACATGTGTATGAATGGTGAATTTGACTGTGATGCCTACAGATTGTCTGCAAAATTCCATCCAGGGAGGCGACCACTGGGGAAAAATGGAAGGAAATTGAGCAGCTGCTGCTGCATTCACTGGCTGGTTCTGAAGTGCTTGCTGCTAGACTCGCAAGTGAGGGAGAAATTACCTGCTGTTGAAGGTGTAGTGAGCAAGATAAGTGTATGCCAGCATTTTATCATGTGGGACTGAAAGCAGGGAGAGGGGTAGAGTGGACAGCACCTTTTTGTATAGATAGTTGATTGCCTTTAGGTTTGAAGGGATTCGGGGAAGGAGACTGCAAGAAGATGGAGGTTGCAAGTGGGAGTCTGAGGATAGACTGGGAGGCCACAAGGAAGAGTGAATAGTTTAAACCCATCCTCATAGGAGCCCTCAGCTACAAAGTAGCCAAGGATGATTGAAATCATTGAGGCAATGGTTTACTTGCAAACGAATTTGGAATTGTAAGCTTAAGTTTGTCTTTATAATTCACCTAAGGGAGATAAAGCACTGGATGCTATTGTAATGAATGCTGTCTTAATTGTAACATTTATATCTGAGATGCAGTAGCACTGTAGTGTTATCTGGTTAAATTCCCAGCTTTGCAATTTCTTTGCATATTTGCAGTAACTGTGATCTCACCCACATGGGAGATGTGTTCACGATTGGGTTTTTGTTTGTAGAAGTCAGTTATTTTGAAAGAAAAGTCTGCTAACTTCATACTTTGATTGGACTGTGACTTCAAATTTAATGGAGGGTTGATAATTATTAAAGATACTGGTGAATTCTTCTAATCTGCTTCAATTCAAATACCCTGTATCTCAAAACAAAAATAATTGTACTGTGTGAGTACCTTGTGCCCTAGTGTTGTCTTTAAAGTTGTACCATTTCATTTATATTGCCTCTTTTGCATCACAATGAATTGCTTCATGTACTGTAGTACACCAGGCAAATAAGAGGAAAATTCCATTCTGGGAAACCTGTCATTCTTTGCTTCTGTCCTTAGCCAGTTTTGTAATGATGCAGCTACACCCCCGTTTAATCTGACAATATTACCAACAAGTGTTTAATGTAGGCATTGCTAAAAAGGGCAACAGTTAACTGCTTTGGAAGTGGTGCTGAGCTCCACTAGAACATTTGCAGTGAGATATTTCGTGGCTGTTAAGTCAGCTGTGGGTCTAGTGTAGCATACAGGCAACTGTGTAGGAATGGGAGCTTTCAAGTCCAAGTACATTAGTGAACCAGATGGACTTTTTTGTCAATCCAGTCATTTCATGATCACTTTACTTGTGCTCTCTTTTTATTCCAGGTTTTTAATTAGCTAAGTTTTAAATCTGCAATTGCCATGATGGGATTTGAACTCTCCTCTTGATTGCCAGTTCACGAACATGTCCACTTTACAATACTGCTGTACCTTACATCAATTTGTTAAATGCTTTTTGAACTTCATATGTACAAACTGCATTGCCCTTATTGATCTGTCTGTTATCATCAATGTTGATGTTCATTTGTTAACACGTATTTTCTCATTGCCAATTAGTTTTAATGTCCTGTTCTCTCCAAGAAGAATTAAATTCTGTTATCCAAGGAGAAGCTGGTCTCTTTAAACCCCAACTGAAATATTACCTTGTGTATATTCAGGTTGTATATTGTGGCAATCTTGTTAATATTAATTAAACCCTCCCTGCCCCAAATTTGGTATTATCTGAAGTTTGATGTTGATATAATCTCAAATCAGAAGTGATAAAGTTCATTGTGTTGGTGTTGAAGAGACACAATTTTTGGTAAGTTAGAGCATGAGATAATTAAATTGCATTAGAACTGAATAATGTCCACTGATTGCAATCTTTGTTTTCCAGGAAATGGATGACACCGTAATCAGTCCTGAAAAGGCTGAGGAAGCAAAATTGAAGTTAAAATATCCAAAGTTGGGACAAAAACCTGGTGGATCAGAGTTTTTGAGGAAACGTCTGCAGAAGGATGTAAGTATTTGTAAGAAATGACTTTGACATCTGTTAATTATGACTAATTTTAGATTTGATTTCAGTTGTACATAGCTTTGTACTACTGGGTAAATTTCCAATATGGAATTTGTAATCATACCAAATGTCTTTAAGCTGTATGGTTATTTGAATTGAGTTCTTAATAGTTGGCAAGATAATAAACAATTTGTTGAAATTTGCTAAACTAAGGTTGTCTGAATCTTCTCTCCCTCCACTTAAAAAAAAAAAAAAAAAAAAATTTAAAAAAATTCCAGGGCTTACAATGCACTTTTCAAAAGGGACTTTGCTTACCCTGTATATTTTCTGCACATGTAATAGCTGTTATTGTAGCAGTATTTATTTGCTTTCTGAATTCTTTGTTCCATTCAATTTGTTTTCAAAATGTTTCAGACTCCTTTATAATGAGCACAGTGCAAAGATATTAACTGTCTCAGTATTGCAATGGTCTGACTGTGCACTTTATAATAGTATTTCTCCTGACCTTCAATGGTGGGTATTTGGGCAAGTGAACAATGCAGGCATATAAGCATATGTACACTGAGATTCTCTAGTTAGCTAAATGCAGCAGTATAACTCTGGCCTTGAATTTTGCTGGTCTGTTTGACCACCACTAGTCAATACTGAGGCCTGAATTCAAGCATTTAAGACTGTTGCTCCTTTTGAGGTACCAGGTTCCACTTGGCTTGCTGCTCACTCACTTTCCTTATTTACTGGAAAGTCATTGTGTTAGAATAATGTTAAAAGAAACTAACTGCTTCCCATAACTGGCCTCTTTTGGGATAGCTAAAATCATTATTCTGAAGTGAAAGCCCTATTTCTAATATCCGTGGTAAAATTCAACAATGCTGGAATGAGGAAAAATCTTTTCTTGTGAACAATTTACTTAAGTCATCTGACATTCTAATAACTATACTTGCATATTTTCCATTTATGTCACAGGATGGTCAAGTGCAGAATGATCTGACTAGCAGTGTGCTTAGTTGCATCTTACTTTACTCAGTTCACCAACAGAAGTTTGACTGTCTGCTATTTATCACCATTTTCCTTGCCAATTAGAAATGTATTTGCAGCCAGTTTTGCAATGAGCTGTAAATGTATTGAATTCTGTAGTGCAGTTTTCCTTTCTGAAGTGTTTTGGAGAATAAACTTTCCTTGTTACCTCATGCAAAGTATTTATCTTCCATTCATATTTGAATTACTTTTTTGTCTTTGCATAACCTATTATAATGGTTTTATATGTATCTCCTGAAATCGGTGCTAAGTATTTTTTCCATTCTCTGCAATGATAATGCAGAAAATCCTTCCCATTCACAACTAAAATACCTCCTGTCCAAGTTTGTTTGGTTAATTTATAATTAGTATTGAAAGTTATCCTCTTATGATTTGATGTATAGACTATAATACCTAATTTTGTAATTCTGCAATTTAATCCATGCAGGTTGTTTGGATCTCTAAATTTGTATGTCCAGATAAATTACTTGTAGTGCAACTCCATTTCCCTACTTTCCACTTGATTGAAGTAATTTTTTGTGGCTATAATTTCAGATATGTGGAAAAGGTATCAGTGTATTGCTTGTTTTTAAACACTTTTTGAGTGTGTGCACAACATTTTATTTTTGCTGTGTTTTAGTGCTTTAACACTTGGGGGAGCACTTCCTTCATATGCTGTACCAGTCAGTCAGTCTGTGGCTTGTAAGTTTTAAATTGACTTTTTTTTTGCAATGCATAACTGAAAACTAATATTAGGGTATGAGTTGAAACAGAATGTGTATCTCCCCACCATGAATCCCCACTTCGTTGCTTTTTTAAAAAAAAAGTCTCATTGGAAACGCTTGGTTTTTAGTCAATACTTTTTTGCATATGATATTAAAAGACTAATTATATATTTGTAGAGCCAATAATATTCTTTTATAAACAATATTAAGTTTTTGAAAAAAAGAATTTCAATATAGGATCAGTTTTGGGGCAACAGCTGATTTACAATATATGTTCATAACTTTGAAAAGGAGAGTAAATGTACTGTTGCCAAGTAGGTAGAAAAGGCAGTGGATGACAGTCTGCAGAGATATATAGGCTGTTCAAGCAATAGGGCTGAAAATTTGACGGAATATTCTGTGGAATGTGGGAAAATTAGGTTCTGCACTCTGGCAGGGAGAATAGAGGAGCTGGATATTTAAATGGAGGAAATCTGCAGAAAGCTACAGAACAAAGGAGTTTAGGAATCCTTGTGCATGAATCTCAAAACCAACATTCAAGTTCGTGAGGATTAGGATGGCAAATGGAATGTTGGCTTTTATTTAAAAGGGAATGGATTATAAAAGGAAGGAAGTTTTTGTAAAACTATACAAGGCACTAGTCATACCACATCTGGAATATCATAAACACTTTTGGTCCACCTATCGTGGGAAGATAAAGTGGCATTGTAGGTAGATCAGAGAAAGTTCACTAGTCTTATCCTGGATATGGAGGGGCTGTCTTATGTTGAGAAAGGTTTGGCATGAACTCATTGAAGTTTAAAAGAATGAGATGTGACCTTATTGAAACGTACAAGATGCTTGGAGGCTTGATGGGGGTAGGTGCAGAAAGATTGTTCTACCTGTGGGAGAGTCTAGGAGCAGAGGATATAATTGGGTAAGGGGCTGTCCATTTAAGACAGGTGTGAGGAGGTATTGAATCTCTGGAATTTGTACTCAAAGGCTAGCTCCTTAAGCATATTCAAGGCTAAAATTTTTGAACATAAAGGGACCAAAAGTTATGGGGAAAAGGCAGGAAAGTGGAGTTGGGGATTGTCAGATCATCCAAGATCTCATTAAATAGAGCAGACTAAATTGGCTCAATAGTCAACTTCTTTTTTTTCTTATGGTCATCTTTTGGGGCTTAGTGTAGTTGGACTACCAACTAGTTGTGCTTGGGCATTGAGTACACACGTGCAACCATTTCTGACACCCCTCCAACTTGGTGGCAGGAGGTAGTTTTTAATTGATGTAACTTTTGTAAACGCCAGTTGCAAAAGTGTGGTTTACACTGCATCATCAGATCATTTAATTTTTGGTGCTATTTTGCAAAGTGACTAATTAAGTTTTTAGGTTTTGAGAAATCAAGCTTTTTAAAAATGGAACGATTGCTACCATGTAAATTTTTCTTTATTTTGTGTTGCAGCCGAAGTACTTTGATTCAGGAGATTACAACATGGCTAAAGCTAAAATCAAGAACAAGCAGCTGCCAAACAGTGGAGCAGACAAGAACCAAGTGACTGGGGAACACATTCCCACTCCACAAGATCTCCCTCAGAGAAAACCTTCCCTTGTTGCTAGCAAACTGGCTGTCTGAGACCTCATGAGGAATGCATAAAACTCTTGTCATTCCTTTTTCTTGCTATTAATTCCTGTGTTTTAGCTTTTTTCCTTGTTCCATTACATCATGACTGACAGCTTAGCAGATAACTACAGTGCCAAGTTGTTGCTGCAAGAAAGTCCTTCAAATTCAGACTGAGGACCAGCCTGAGATTTCATAAACTATAAACCATGCACTGATGAATAGGACTTCGGTGTTAAAAGTAGGAAGTAGTCAATTACAACACTGAGGCAGAAATGTACATATGGTAACTTCAGTAGAAGCACTCCCATTAAGTATTTTACATTTTTACTGTTTCTGGTTTCTCATTAATTAGTATAATGTGAGTTTCTAATCTAGATTGAGTTAGATAAACCTCTGTTTCTCTTTTTTCATGCTCTTGTGTAATGCTGATTATAATATTGCAAGTAAACTGTCCTTGTAGATGTTAACACTAAAATGGAAATGGCATATTTGAAAACCAGGACAGCTGTCCATTTCTCAGCTAATCTTGAGGAACTTAAGAGCTTTAAACCTATTTAAATGTCTGTAAATTGGACAATATTTGTCCTCTGATTTGCCCTCTTGGATGTATTTCAGTTCATCATTACTGTGCCTCTAGCAGTTCCAAATGGTATTGACTCAAGATTGATAGGTTAGGGATGTCATATATTCAAGGTGATTGAAATGTGCATGAGCATAGACTGTGCAGTCACTTTGTGCCATTGTTTTGTAAATAAAATAGTTTTGGACAATAAGTGCAATGGCTGCCTTAAACGCTGGCAAATTATTTGTAAATATTTGATTGCTGTGTATCTAGAACATAGAAAATCAACTGAAATCCCTGCACTGTTAAAATTCCTATGCTTTATAGATATGGTTGAAGTTCTCAAAACATAACTGAGGAAGTGCAACTATCATTCTTAGCTGGTTGATAGAGCTATGGCATCAGTTGGGGATGTTGTGATAGACTTGTTTCCAATTGAACTTGAATGATTAAAAGCAAACTATCACTTTCAATAATCACAATTTGAATGTCCAGATAATATTCAATATTTAAATAAATATCATCATTTTCCACTATGGGTAGAGCAAGGAAGCAAGCCCTATATCCATCCAGGCAGAAAAGAACAAATCCCACTCTGTCAGCACCAATCAGATCTATAACACTCATCAGGCCATGTGTTTGTTGCAGTCTTGAGCTATGAGTAGTGATGGTAGTGGTTCCAACTTTCTTTCTTTCTAGCAGGGTTCATCAGGAATCTTGTACTATTATTGCCTGCCACTTACTCATTGCTCATCATTTACCTCCTCTGAGGTAGTTATTGAACCATAAATGATTAACTACCAAAAGCAAATTGGCATCATCATGCCAATCCGGACCTGATTAATGTGAGGAGGTTAGTAGTAGAATACAACAAAACTTAAAGAACTGGGTCTCGTACCTTCTGATGAATGAAAAATATAGCTTAAATATTAAAGTTGTACATGCTCTAAGAAAGTTCTTATCCTTATGAATGTTACTTCTCAATTGTTGCCTTCTCTCCAAGTGAATTCCAGCCTGCGGGCTGCCTTCCCTTAGCTAAGAAGTCGGACTGAGACACCCACAAATTAACCAATGGATTATGTTGATACGAGGATGAAAGGAAGCTTTTAAAAAAATATCTCCAATCCTTTGGGATCACTACTTCATTTAGAGTGGTTAGATCCTTAATGTGTGGAGTGTATTCTAGTCTTACAGTTAAGTAGTTGGTATAGGTTTGTGACATTAAGCGGTTTATTTAGTGCCTAATGCTTTAGGCTGAATATACCATGTTGATCACTTCCTTCTGCTGCAAGTAACAGGTCAGTGTTTTTGCTCAAGGCTTTTCTTAAAATACAGAACCGAGTATGATGGGTAATAGCGACGTAATCCTGAACTGCAACTGCAGTACCTCCATTTTTCCTTAAATTAGACTAGTTTCCTTAGGTTTTAATTGTAACCTAAAAATCACAGGATCGTGTTACTTGAAGTTGATTACTAACTGGCCTCCATTCGTGTTGGAGACTGACAAGTTGGAGCATGAATAATGAAATAATAAAGATCAATTCTTCAGATTAATACATTTTTCTAGTCTCAAATTATACAGTTTTTAAAATCAGAATTTTCATTGGCACTTATTTCAATGGACATCAAAACAGTTTTGTAATGAGACAAAATTTGAAATTCTCAGACTAGAATAGAATGTTGCAGTAAAATTTAAATTAGTTTTATTAGCAATGTTAGTCTTTTTATAGGCTCGCTTTCATCAATTGGGAAAGACCTAAAGGCCCCCATTCACACTCCTGTCAACTATGCTTATGAAGGAATGGTTTCATCTAATTAAAAATCTGTTACTTGTGGGTTAAATTATAGCATACTGTGAAATGTGTAAACTTTTAAGTTTAGGCCATATGCTGATAAATAAAATCTACAGTATTATTTCTTCCACATTGTCATCCCAGCATGAGATATATTTGAAATATAAACAGTATGTCAAAGGTTTGGTTATAGTCTGTGGAGAGGTAAACAATGCTTCTGGTCAGTGACTTTTTTAGACAAATACTTTTGTCTGCTGATCCCACTAATCCCAGTGCCATTAGATTCCATAGGTGATGTATATCAAGTTCTAGTGCTACACATTTGCATCCATGTAGACTTAAAGTACCAACGGTTGGTCTTTAGGTGCAAATGGATTTTTAAAATAAACTGCTGAGCAAGATTCACACCTATTTTCTCAGGTTGACCAAGTGTCATCTCACCTGGTTCGTATATCATCTTACACTTCAAATTGGAGTGCTTGACTACCTGATACGGCGTTTGAAATAAGATGGTTTAATTATTAAAAACACCTAGACTTACTAAAAAAAAATTTTATATGTATATTCAATGCTTTAATTTTCAAGTTTAGAAATATCTTTTAAACTTGCAAGATTGATAAATGTTTTAAAAAGTTACAAAGGTTCCAATACACAGTTCAGCCTCTTTATGTTCTGAGTTGGTTTTCTGCAAAAGCAACTCACTCTGCCATTTCCTCTGTCTTCATTGCAGCCTACACATGTTCCCTTGGATAATGATTAGGTCTGATTCTGACATACTGGCAGTGCACTCTCTATTCCTGCACTTGCTGCAATGTGTATTTTAAAGCTCCTCTTATTGTCAATCAGCTTGTGTCATTATCCTCTGGTTCTTGATCCTTCCACCAAAACGATTCTTTCCGTTTATTCTTCTGAAAAAAAATCACTCCTTGACCCCTCGGAACAGACCTAGATGCTATTATACTCAAGCAACTAAAATTGCATGTCTTGAACCATTCATCTAAGTCTTAGCTGCAGCTTCTTTAATGTGTTCACATCCTTTCTAAAATATGGAATTTAAAACTAAACAATCGCATTGAAAGAAAATGCTTAATACAAGTTTTTCATATTTATTCCATTTTCCTTGTTTTTGTTGTCCTTATTTATATCACCAGTTTCAGATTCCTCTCTATTCTGACTTGGAACTAAATTGTCACTTCCTTACTGTTCATGGATCGAAATCCAAGAACTCTCCCTTATAGTTCTGTTGGCTTTCCTATTCCTGAAGGACTGCATAGCTTCAGGAAGGAAGCTCAACACTGTTGTCTTAAAGACAGGTAGCATTGGGTGACATTGGCTTAACCAGTGCTACTCATGTCCTGTTAACAAGTAAAAGCAATAACGTATGCTTATTAATCCTTTTCAACCCATGTACGTGTACTATAGAGTTCCTCTGCATCTGATTTAGAAATGTACCTTTCATATTGCGTAGTTTCATTTTTCATACCAAGATGTGTCACTTCAAATATCCTCTAATTAAAATTAATGTCTTAATTGCCCAGTTTGCCCTTTTGAGGTTTAACATGCTCCCCTATGGTTTAGAATAAACTTATTTCCAGCCTGAGGATTCCTTTTTACTAAAAAGGAAAATACTCATTTTTAAGAACTTGATGAAGGTTATCTATCTAAAATTTTCACACTTAGCTGATGGAACAAGAAATAAACCGTTACAGAGACTGTTGCATCTTTTAAAGGAAAGTAGCTAAACGTTTGAAGTGCAGGGAGATGCAGGGATTGAATGAGTACTGGATTATCTTTACCAAAAAAAAACTAGTACTGCCAAGAATGACTGATTTTTAAAAACTCCCCGTGCTGTCCTCATTACGGTAAATTTCAAGTCTTTCTTCAGCCTTTTCGTTGGGTTTCTGTAAAAGTAACTCTTACTACTGTTGTCCAGCCTGTCTGTACCTCGCTCTCTTTAGTTCCATTCACAGTGCTATATTGCATCAATGAATACAGTGGTTAAAGGTTGTTAAAGAAGCCTGCTCTTTGGACCTACTGAAACCGGAATGGAGTTTGTTTGCGTTCTCTGGAGGATATAATTTTGTTTCTTTGGGGGAGTCTGTTTATGGCACCTGATTAATAATCTAGTTTACTGACTGAGTTGCTGTAATAGCAGCCTCACATCCATGATAGACTGGGTTAATGCAAATTTAAGACACAACTAGAGAAGTGTCCGTACTATGCGAGCAGAGAAGGCCATTCAGCCCATCATACATTTACCATCTACCTGAGGAGTTCCCTTTAGTTCCACTTCTAATCAATCCCCAGAGCCTTGTATGTTTGTTGTATTTGCCCAATTCCCTATAACAAGTTCGATTTGGACCCAATTCTATCCTCCCAGCGCATTCCAGACCGTAACTTCCTGTCTAATTCCTTCACGTGTCGCCTCTGCTCATTGCAATCTAACAGGGCTTGACCAAACGTGTTAATGCCTCATTCCATCGTATAGATATTTTTCATTCATGTGTTCAGATGTGTTGTGACACTGGCTCGGAAACAGAGACGCTGCCACCGTGCCACAAGAGTTCTCCGTCCTCTTCATTTCATTAGATTGGTTTAACATTAGTATCTAGGCAGTTTGCCCCGACCAAATGCAAATTCACCTACCGATTTCGTGTGTCTCGATTTCGGTCATGTCTGATACATGAATAAGTTGCAGCTGTTTTAAACGGCTACGGTTAACGACAGGTCCGGTTGTTCCTATGAAGTAAAGAGAGTCACGTTGGACTCAACGTTCACTCTGTTTCCCTTTCTGCGGATGCTGTCAGACCTACTGAGTTTCTCCGGCATTTTCCGTTTTTATTCTAGACTACTCCTGCTTGTTTTATTTTGGTCGATTTAGTAGCTTCTCGAGAGCGCGTTCCCTTCCACATCCACCCCCAGAGACAGACGCAATTGATCAAACCAGCTCTGGAAATTAACTCGATTAGATGAAATATGAAGGAATGTAAGTTGTTTCTTTATAAATGTATCGACATTTTTAAAAAAATCACATGCGAACAAGAGATGTGACCTAATTAGTTTTTAAATTCAAATAGAAAAACACTCCCAGAACAAATTCCAAGCGCGTTAAAGTGCACCAATTGCTTGCAAACGTTTGGAAATGGGGTGTGGGGTCAACGTAGAGTTTGGTGCAGATGTGCTTTCGGCTACATGTGGCCCCCACAGAGAACTGAGCGCGGAGTAACTCTGTGCACGTTCTAGACTCTCCCCATGTCCTGCTTATTTTCCAGAGCTCCTCACAACCTAACGGTGGCGCTGTCTTTCCGGGTACATTTCTGACACTTCTGACTCTGTGACTTGCTGCTGCCGCCGCCGATGGGAGGCACGTTGAGCACAGATTTTCTCGCAGTGTGCAGGAAAGCATCTTTTTAGGTCTATCTCTCGTACCCAGAATGCATAGCCGGGTAGCATTTCAGTGACACAGGTAACATGGCGTTTGGTACCTTAGGCTGAGATTTTCAGAGGGAGGGAGGAAGGAAGCAGGCGCTCGGTGCAGTTTGCTCCGGGATTCCTTTTGATTTGGAAAGCCGATGTTTTGTTGGAGCTGATTGACCTCCCTTCCACCCCCGACCGTCCCTTTCCAGTCGCTGAGCAGTGGGGAAGGAGGCTGCTCCGGACGGTGGCACAGGCAGAGACTCGCCCCACGGGAGAATGGCAGCATCCGAGCTCTTCACTAAGGTACAGATTTTCACATCTCCAACCCCTCTCTTTGGCTGTGTTTCTTCAGCCCGGTCAGCCGAATGCAAATCACCGCGGTGCATCCTATTGTCGAGTGTATTGCAAAGGTGGTCAGACTGGGCTTGGGGAGGAGGAAGAGGGAGAAAGGAGCGAGGTTTCTATTGAACAATGGATATAGGAGGGAGAGGCTGGGGGATATGGTCCTTGTTGCTGTTAATGTTCTTGGCTTTGATTTGTGATTCAGTGGCGAGAGAGAAGGAGCCGTTCTGGTGTGACATTCGATCTGGCTGTGTGTGTGTGTGTGTGTGTGTGTGATTCATGAGGGTGAAGAGAAGATGCATTCATCCTATCTGCATGGACCTTTTTTCACCAGTAGAAATGGGCTGGCTCCTATTTACCCTAAATCTGTGTGTAACTGCTGAGTTCCCCACCCCGAGAAGCCGAGAAATTAACCTCCTCCCCCTTCCCATAATCAAAACTCACTACGTCAAGGAAATGTATCCGAGCTGCTGATTTATTGGCCTAAAAAAAACACGCACACAGCGAAAGCAGGAAGAGAAAAGCGTTTTTGACTTCGCATCGTCGGCACTTCCTCAATAGCGTTTGGCACCAATGAAATGAATGAACGCCGCCGTGGCTCGGATTAATTTCACGGCGTTTGAATGAGATGCTCCTTCGGATTGTCTCGCTCTCTAACACCACGTCGTGTTGGTTTTGAGTTCGCAGTAAATTGGAGCGGCTCGCCAGGCCATTCTGGGCCCCGCTCGCTCCAACCTGGAAAACTGAACGGGGGAGGGGGGGAAGCGAGTGAATGATTCCTGTTGGGGCAGCGTCCCCCTGGGATGTAAAACCACCGGGTCCGGCTCTCAACCCAGTACTGTCGCATCGAAGCCAAATCTTGTGCATGCTGGAGCTCTGAAATAATGAAAGAGAGAAAATGCTGGAGCAACTCAGGAGATATGGTAGCATTTGTGATCGTCACTCTGTTTCTACCCCTCCCCACAGATGCTGCCAGATTTGCTGAGTTTCTGAAGTATTTTCTGGATTCAGTTCGCATCCCATGCTCCTTGCGTTTTCAACTCATCGCCCATTTTATTATTTATTATGTCTCCCTTCAGGCAACAGACGTGTCCATCAATTTATAAATCTTTGTAAATCATTCATTTTTTAATTGCTGGTTTGTTGATCCACTGATCGTGGGGCTGAAAATGTTTCAATAATACTCAGATAAAGGCACCTATTGTGCCTTAGAATTTTTCTGACAGTGATGTAGTATCATGTTAAGTGTTCAGTAGTTCCTAATATTCTACAACACATTGTTCTTAGAAATTAATTCATTCCAACTCATTCCATTTCTGAGTGGATATTTGTGTGTGTAAGGCTGTGTTGAATTATTTTCACTGATGAAGTCCATTGCAAAAATGATTTTTGGACTTTCATGTTATGGCCAAGGTTGTATTCAGTGATGAACAGTGTAACATTTACAATGAAAGTTCAGGCAGTAGATGCGACAGTTTCCAAACTAGTAAATGAAAGACATCTCTATAAATGACTCTTGTTTCCACTGGATTCTAAATGCTTTACATCTGGTGAAGTATTTTTTAATGTATTTCCCTTTGCAATGTAGCAGCCAATCTGATCATGACTAGATAATCTGTTTCTGTGATGTTGGTAGAGGGATAAATATTGGTCAGGACATGATACCATGCTCTTCTTTGAAATTGTGTCATTGGGATGTTTAACATTCACCTGAGCAGAGAGATTGTGCCTCAATTTTTCTGATTTCCAGCTTTACACTGATTTCACTGTTGACCTGAAGGAGATTTTCCCTGGTTTATAGTTTCTGCAGATGTAGGGCAACTTCAGATATCTCACCTCTGTCAAAATTGCTCATTTATGTGAGCAGCAATGATGTGTACCAGCAGATGTGGCAACTAAAGACATCGTAGTCAGTCTAATCCTGTATTTGCCTCCCATTCATACAAGTACTTTTAGTATAGATGTCTGGATAACAATCATGAGGAAAAGTGCGATCAATTTTCTTTTTCTTTCCTATCTTTTGGATTCTAGCTCCCTGCTCAATGTATGATTTTACTGAGTTCTTGGGAGAAGGGGAATGTTCTCATAGAATCATACAGCATGGAAACGGACCCTTTGGTCCAACTCATCCACGCTGACCAACTTTCCCAAATTAAGCTCGCCCCACTTGCCTGCAGTTGGCCCATATCCCTCTCAACCTTTCCTATTCATGTATCTATCCAAATGAATCTAAATTGTACCTACATCTACCACTTCCTCTGGCAGTTCATTCTGCATATGAACAACCCTCTGTGTGAAAAAGTTGCCCCTTGGGTCCCTTTTAAATCTTTTCTCCTCTTACCTTAAAGTTATGCCCTCTAGTTTTGAACTCTCCCACCCTAGAGAAAAGACCATTGCTAATCACCTCATCTGTGCCCCTCATGATTTTATAAACACTACAAGGTCACTTCTCAACCTCCTATGCTCTAGTGAAAAAACTCCTAGCCTATCTAGCCTCTCCTTTTAACTCAAGCCCTCCATTCCCAGCAACGTTCTGGTAAGTCATTTCTGAACCCTCCGGTTTAATAATATCCTTCCTATAGGAGTACAACCAGAATTGTACGCAATACTCCAAAAGTGGCCTCCCAATGTTCTATACAACTTCAACATGATGTCCCAACTTCTATACTCAATGGTCTGAGCTATGTAGGACGTTGCATGTTTTTACATGGACCTTTTTGCTGGTGAGTGCAATGTGAAAAATTTCCTGCTGGCCAAAATATGCCTCTGATGATGAAACAATCATTTTTCTGCTTTAGTCAGTGTGAACATATTGTTTTAAAAGAAACAATTTGGCCTAATTTGAGACAAACAGTGAATTTGACCATCCTTCAACCTTGCCGCAGCAATTTATTTTAACTATAGCATCATGTGCACCTTGACTGCCAAGGGTTGGAATTTGTTCCTCCCTGAGCTGATTCTGGCCACTTTTGGTAATTTACTAATTTGGTGGAGAATTGCGTACTTGTATTTTTGCTGATATGTTGGGGTGAAGCTGCCCAAATTCATTTCACGTGGATATCTTGGCTTTTGAAACTCCAGCTAAATTTAATTCAATCCCAGGAATCACTGTAGTTCTAACTGCCCAGCCCTGCACAGAATTGAAATTATTTTCTAAACGGGGTGTTGGTTACCATTCTTCTTCCAAGAGTGGCAGAGGCAGGGTCATTGAATGTTTTCATGGCTGAATTAGGTAGATATTTGACTAACAAGGGAGTCAGAGTGCGAGTGGAATGAGGCCATGAACTGATCAGCTGCGTTCATATTGAATGGCAGAGCAAGTTGAAGGGGCCAACTGACCGAGAGTGTGTAAGTAATGGCTGCATTTCTGATATTTCTGAATTTTCAGGTGCATTGTGCTTCATGACAGAAGAAGTTTAAACTCTATCACAGGATGCTGGATGAAGGAATTTTTGATTTTTCAAATATGAAACATATGTCTTGGGAGTCGCATTTTAAAAATTTTAGTAACTTTCCATGTAAAGTGCACATTGGCCTTGAAAATGAGTGAATTGGTTCAGGGCGAAATGCCATATTTGTATCTGCTGAAAATCCAGACAAATAATTTAGATTTTATAATTGTTGATCTTAGTGGAAATAAGCTTTAGTTTTATTCATTCATGGCATTTGGACTTTGCTAGCTGGGCCAGCATTTATTTTCCATCCCTTATTGTCCTTAGTGCTGGTGAACTTCCTTCTTGAACCACTACTGTCCATTTGCTGTCAGTGCTATTAGGGAAGGAGGTCTAGGATTTTGACCCAGTGACTTTGGAAAAAATTGTCATGCTGCGAAGAAATGAGAGTCCATTGAGTAAACTCTTGAAGCTGATGCTGGATTCCAGTTGCTCTTTTCATCCTCCTGAAGTTTCACAATAACTTGCTGTACTTTGTAAATTGGAAATACAGCTTAAAATTGAGGCCTAATCCTCTGATAAATCAAACAATCAGCACATTTGTCAAGTGATATGCAAGGTGTGTGACCAACCTGTTTTGATTGTTTCCTGTGCCATTTGCACACTAACAATAAGTTATTTTGTAACCTTTGTGAACTATTGTTCAGTGTTACTCCATTTTGAATTCTGTTATTTGTGTCTTGTGCCTATGCAAAACTGATGTTTTAAACGGCTTCTTTTTTTTTTTCTTGACTTTGACTTTGACTTTGAGTTTTGTTACATATTAATGTTGTCGTAATTTTAAATTTGTTCATTGGTTGTGCATGTCACTGGCAAGGCCAGCATTTATTGTCCATCCCTAATCGTCCTGGAAAAGGTGGTGAGCTGACTTACCTACACCTTGTTGTCTCGGATTCTCCAGCATCTGCAGTTCCTACTATCTCTGACTTCTTGAACTGTGTGTGTGTGTGTGTGTGTGTGTGTGTGTGTGTGTGTGTGTGTGAGAGAGAGAGTGAGTGAGTGACAGAAATTCACACAGTGAAATTGCTCACTAAGTGTGTGAGCCTAAACGGTGAATATTGACCGTTGAAGAGAAGGCAAAGGATCACAGCTAAGTACAATGCTCTTGCCAAACACCCAGGCCTGCACATGCAGATGAGATTGTCGTAATGTGATCAGCAATAGGAGCCTTTACTTTAACCTAACTTGACGTTGAATCTAGTTGTATCACTGTCATCACTTCACTAACATCTGCAGGCAGTGTAATTAACTGCAAAGTCATTGGGACTGTTCATGACTTTGTAACATGCTCCATGTAATATTACAGAGGAATAGTTGTACAAATTTTTTGCAGAATTTTCTACACAAATTTTTCAATCACAATATAGCTGGGAGCTTTGTCAATCTAATAGACATGTGCTTTTATGGAGGACGAGACTGAGTGCTCTCCAAAATTCCATAATAATGTGACTTTAAATGGGATGTTCTGGGTACATTTTCAAAAAAGTTGATGGATTTTAGGTACAGAGG